TAAAGCCATCTGTATTGAAAAATTCATGGAAGAAACTGATGCCTTTCGAAACTAATGAAGATGAAGAAATCCATGGATTCAGTGAAAATGAGAGAGCCACAGAATTGAAAAAATTGGCTAACCAAGTTCATGGTGGTGAAGAAGTCAACGAGGAAAATATAAGAGAGTGGTTTGACTGTGACTCATGTGAGCCAGGCTTCGAAATGTTAAGCAGTGGCAAAATCGTAAGTTCAGTGGGGGTGCAGCCAGAAGAGCGGGAAGAAAGTGAGAATGAGGAAGAGATGGACAGTGCTGCTAGTAAAAAAATATCACATGGTGCTGCTCTTAATCATTTGCAATCCTTACTAGACTATCTTGAGAGTGAAGAGAACAGTTTATTAACTGACAAGCTAATATTATGTAGGCTTCGTACAGGTATCTGTAAAAAGGAAAATGCCACGAAAAAGGAAATGACAATATTAATTTTTTTTAAGTGTTAAGTGTGAATATTCGTAAAAAGTGTTGGATGTTGTTGAACATTGTGATTGAAATAACTAATTCATATTCAGTATAATGTAAAAAAAGTATTAAATAGGCCATGAGATGACATAAAAATGAGGTTGAATAAATTTAAATACAGGTATTATGAAGGTACAGTATTACAGTACTTATAGAACTTTTAATAAATTTGTCTTAACCGGGTTTTCGATTAATCGTGATTTCCATCCCCACCATTATCCCAGATAATCGAGAGTTGAGTATATTTATATTAAGATCCATTTGTATATTATCCTCCCACCCAGACTAAAGTCTCTCAATCTGTCTTGTTCTACACTGTTTTCAAACCAAAACTAGAAATGTATTGCATACTGAACTATTCCTTGCCATTTTTCTATGCTACCAGCTCAACTCCTCTACACCTAAGAATTATATACAACTCAAAAGGCCAAAAATTTAAGATTGTCGTTTTTTCTAACTCTATCCAATTCAGCATGAAGCTGAAACTCACCTTAATGCCTCCAAAAATAACTTTCATGTCCTCTTCCCTGAGCAAATTATTTAATGGTCTCATGAAACATCTAAGCAATGTTGACAGTACATCAACATAATTCTTTTCTGTTTCTACCAGTTCCTTGATAACATAGTCACGTTTCTCGAAACTGTGTGCTATGGTGGACGTGATCTGAAATGCAACATTAATAAATGCTCAAGATTTACAATGAACAAGAACTTTTCAATTTTAACACACTGTTGATCCAATTTGAAGGACTTAAATTTAAGAAGTTATTATGTTCTGACAGAATACTGTCAAGATCAGATAAATACTGGGATTATCTATACCGAAGAAAGTGTTTGAGTCTATTCATCACTGCATCTCATAATGACGTATAGACTGAAAAATCACTAAACTGCTGATGCCAATTAATGATGACATCACATCACCTGCGGCTCTGCACGTCGTCCCATAGCGCAGAGATCCTGGTATACTTCCTCGTTGTGGATACTCGAATAGTAACTCCCATATTCCTCAGTCTCCATAACTGTATTTGATGGCTCATCGTCACTATAACACATGCGCACGCAACACGGCAGCTTTAGTTAACAATTGCCATGCAACATTTAACAGCCTTGCAGCAGCAGCACCAGCATGCAGTTCTCCAATCTACTGCAGTGAATCAATCATGTTTGGTAAAGATTCATCTCCAACATTTCTACACAACAAAGAAAACACCCTTCTAGAAGCCTCAACTGCCTATAAATAAAAATGTAGCTCAATCTAGAAAATAAACCTAAACCACACAGAAATAACAAATCTTCATTCTCACAACTCTCACCCATTGTCAGTATTTATTAACATCTAATTCTTCCAATAAGCACATGAAAAACACACTTCACTGAACTCATAACAAGAAAAAAATTCATATTACATATGAAACTAGGAAGGTCAAAATACCTCAACAGAATACAATTACTACTTAGAATTACACTAAATTTTTGAACACAAGAAATACCTTGGTAAAATTGTACCTTACAACTTACTACTCATTATTCCAAGCAAAGTGAAAAAGTACAAATTACAAAAAAAAAATGTGGCCTATCTGCATAATTAAGATGCTGTGGAACATTACTTCATTCCACAAGCAAGTATGGAACACAATCCAATCAGAAGCACAAATACACCAAATCTGCATCATTTTGCTACACACCTTAATGCTTATACTTGTCACTAAAAAGTAAAACAGCATAAATACACACATAAAATAAAATGAAGTAAAATCTAATAAAAGGAAACACTGTTCCTTTCTTAGTGATTCCACAATATTCTACCCATGAATGCCTCCTTCCCTGTCAGCTGCTCACATGTATACATACTTATGCCTTCTGATCCTTACTTGCCAATACAAGCCTCACTTCTTTATTTCATAGTTCACAAGCTTTTAAAAGGTGCTGTATCAATTCCTAAGATTATGCTAACAGATATTTAATTGGCACAGATGGGAAAATGATCTTAGTAGGGTACAAATCAATTTAAAAGGACTGAAAACATCAGAACTCACAAGAAGGGACTAAAATCACTGCCACATTGAGTTTCTTTATCAAAATATGCTACGGAAGCTTCCTGTCAAAAGCAAGGCGAAGATCTGCCGAATGCTCGCACTACTGGACACACAGGTGCAAAATGTTTGGGTAAAATCATAGTTCACACAGGACTTCTGATGTGCACGTAATTGTGCGTTCACGTACATTAAAGTTTAAACTGGACTAAGAACCTGGGTATCTCCCTCTCAAACCAAATTCACATTTCTCTTCCTTCTGAAACATATGACATCTTTACATCCTCTTCAAAAATGTCTTAATAAAAAAAAACATATACCTAACCCAAATTTAATCATACAAAATGTCAAAACCCTAGACTTAAATCAAACAAAATTTAAAAGTCTACCAAAGTTATATAATTCTGCATACATTTAATCATACTGAGTATTCACTGTGCAGGCTTATCAGACGTCCGGGAGGCTTGTCAGTTATGTCATCTAAGGACTCACAGCAGGATTCCCCAACAAACTGAAGCTCATCCATTCAGTGATCACCTGATCAGTGAGTGAGTGAGTCAGTGTTGCGCCATCAAGTGTTACAGAAGCTTATTTATATAGTGCTTTGTTCTGTGTCTTCATGGCTTGTGTGAGATACAATTTAGAACAGAGTTTTCATCTGTGATTTTGTGGGGGGGGAAACTCTTACAAATTATACAAGTGAAAATTTTCCCATAAATTTCCAGACAGAACATGTCCATCTGGAGATACAATTTCGAATTAGTAAATAAAGTAAAAACTCACGACATTTTAACTGACAGTAAGCCATTAAAAAGATATTATGTTTTAACTGAGGAAAAACCTGATGACATTGGTCACCAATTAGAAAATTCTTCTCGAGAATCTTTGAAGCGATTGGCACAACAAAGTGGTGTTTCTGTAGGCAGTGCCTGGACAGCAACTGAACTGCTGCATATTCGTCCATATAAAATTATTGTTGTTCCTGAAATTAAACCTATGAATTATGAAAAAAGAGCCAAGTTTTGTAATTGGTTTATCAATCATGTGCATGACAGGCTTACTGATCTTGAGCTAACATTTTTCACAGATGAGGCTAATTTTAATCTCTCGGGATATGTTAACTCACAAAACAACAGATATAGTAGTGAAAACACTCATACCCAAATTCAACTTCCCCTTTATGAGCAAGAGATAAGCGTATGGTGTGCAAATAGGGTAAACCGTATAATTAAAGACTGATATTTTATAGAGGATCTCTTGATGTTCAATGATACATTAATGAATTTTTTGTTAATTTGGCACCTGCAGAAGAAAGATTCAGTTATTTTATGCAACACAGTGTGACTCAACACACAGCTAAGGAAACTATCCGAGTATTACACAGGGCGTTTGGCAAACTAAATGGGGAAAAGAGAATTATTAGCAAGTGCCCCCTAAACCTCCTGATCTAAATCCATGATTTTTATTTGTGAGGAAAACTAGAACATGTTGTGTATGCCAACAATCCACATAACCCGGAGGCTCTACAACAGAATATTCATGAAGCAATTTACAAAATTCGGCAACGTGAATTGCAACAAGTTTCCCAAAATCTGTTTAAAAGAATTCAGACATGTCTCACAGCAACAGGTAAACATTTTGAACATCTTCTATGATGGTGAGTACAATATTAATTACTATATTTGAATAATAATTAAAAAAATAAGTAAACAATGTGTGCTATCAAGCAGTTAGTTGCTGACTTCCCACTGCATCGGCCCGGGTTTGATCCTGGGTCTGGTCAAGTGGGATTTGTGATAAACAAGTGGCACTGGGGTGGGTTTTCTCCGAGTACTTTGGTTTCCCCTGCCAATCTTCATTCCACCAAATTCTCCACTATCATAATCACCCAAGGCAGGCTACAATAGGCCAACCAGTGGCCACCGTGCTGAGTGGACCCAGTTGGACTCCACCCCCCACTAAGCAAAACACAATGTGTGCTAGCTGTACTGGCCAGGTGGCAGCATTTTTCTCAGCAAGTGATGCAGTGCTTTCACAGGAAGCTGCTGACAGTAAAATCAATGTCCATTCAGCCTGCACTCTGAACACAGTGTATACAGTTTGAACACAAAACATTGAAATTAAAACTAAAGAACTGCCTGAAGTTCCATATATTTTCAAAATATTTAATGACTAAAAATTTGAAGAACCCACACTAAAATTAAATTAAATTAATTTTGAAAACCTAACAGAGTTAAATATTTCTTGAACACATTTCACTACACAAAATTTGAAGAATCCACATTGAAGTTATATGTTAAATGTAACAAAATTCCATATTTTTAAACACATTTAATAACAAAACATCTGAAAACCATGCACCATAATTAAATTAAAATGAATAACTAAGTGCCATACTTTTAAAAAATATGCAATCATATAAATACGACTAAACGCCAAAATTAAATTACCTTGAAATCTTAATAAAAGATCTTCATTACTGCTCACAGAATATGTATCATATATATTAAGATTATGTCCACATGCTAAGAATCATTAGATGACAAAATAAATGATGATCTCTTTAACAACTGGGGATGTCCAATAAAGAAGTCTGCATGACAAGGGACTGAACTTACATACTGAAATATTTTCCTTCCAACTTCATGTACTTGTGAACTCAGCACAACAGTGTGGAACCTGATCCATCTTTGACCTCAAGTTTACCAAATAGATTAATCCTCTCAAAGTGACATTATGCGTGCAGTGATAGACTTTGAATGTAAATTTAATGATAACTAGATGCACAAATAAATAGTTTAACATGGTCGTGCGTTACGCACATAAATTTTCGCTACATGATCTTTATTTATAGTACATAATTTTGGCTCAATGACAATGGAACTGCAATTGGACAGTGCTTGAACAGCACAGGTAATGGTGGCAAATGAAAAAGAACAATTCCTGTGGCCAGTGTCTCTTCCCATTTGGCAGAGCTTTTAACACAACCTCCATCAATAATAATATAAGCAAAAAGTTTTCATGCATATTTTCAAAACTTGATCTAAAATAAAACCCAAACATGCAAAAGAAAGTCCAGCAGCTCAAACTAGTTGTCAGTCCCTGTACCTCTGGACAGGAAGATGAAAATGTAACGTAACAAAGATCCTCGTAAATTTCTTCCTCTTTGTCTTCAAATTGTGGACATTTGATTGTAAACTGCATCCAGCTACAATTGTTGAATTCCCAACTCATACTGTGGCTAGTGGGTAAAGCAGCCCCACTGCTGAAAGTCAAAGCACTAGTAACATACACTGGAGTTCGATGAAAATTTACGAGACTCCTTATAACACACCACGCCCGTACTACAAACAGGATCTGGAATATTCATGCTGTAATACATATAAATGTCACATGTGTTGCTACTTTTGGAGGAAATGTTGTAAGCATACAATTGAAAATTCCATTATCTGATTTCTCCCATTTCTATTATGCCTTTAATTAAACACAAGCCTGAATTCTGGAGTTTTAATTCACATGAAAGTTGAATTACTTACATACTCCCATACCCGTAGAAGAAAGTTCACTGCTACAACAATCAGAGCAGTTCACTGGATCCTGCTTTGTACAGGAGATCCAACGTATATAACCATAACCAATTCCTTTGGGGTTTTCTATATCTTCTCTTCTTATTTAACCTAATTCTAACATACCAGTAATTTCCATCTAAATAAACTTGTGACTTCTTCCATACACAGACAATGTATATATGATCCCTATGCTAACTTCCTTGATTTAACTTCTTTATAATGTTCTCACAGCTACAGAAATTAAAAGTCCCCTTGCTCCATTACTGTCAATCTCAACACTCTTATCATCACACACTTTGAACCTGCCAAATTTGTAACTTTCAGCCTACTCATTTTTGTTTTTGCAACTAAAAACAGTCAGGGGCAGATCACTGTAACTTATGTCCATTTTTTGCCAAAACCATTTTAACTCTTCAATTACCAAATGGATTAATATGCGTTAATGAAAAATCTGCCTTCTTCTATTGAAAACACCAACTGTAACATTATACTGCACACATGCATGCATGTGCACGCACACACACATTTTGGCATATAGACCCATTGCTAAGCAGTGGCTCTGGAAACACCAGTCACTGCTAGGTAATGACTACAGCAATAGAAGAACCGTGTTTTCTGTTGGTCCATGCCGTGACATTATAAGTGCGACAAAGTTTAGAGCTTAGTTCAGGTGTGAGACGGTGGCCAGCCAAGAATGGCGTGAGCATGGAAGCTGAAGAATCTCCATCATTTGAAGTCATATATGAGATGACCAAATATTTTGTACTTTTCCAAGAGATAAAGCATAAATTATCCAATTGCAAGGTCATAATATTTTGTAACTTGAAAACTCTTAAACATGGCTTTTGTACAGCATTTCATGAAGACTCATACTAATCCAAAGCAATTACTTGTTAAACACTAAAATCCTCTTTAATCAGAACTGCCATTTTCAAGCATTTGTAATCCAAGTTCAATCCACAAATTTAAAAACCCATTTCAAAACCACAAAAAACAGCTGATAAAAGGATTATTTTACACATCCTGAGCCTCAATGTTTTTAAAAGCAGACAGGATAATAATAGTTTTAGGTGTGTTCACAACAAACTGATGCAAAAATGTATAAATCAGCTTAACTATACCCATAGACTCTAAAGCAGTGATTCTCAACCTTTGTCAGATCGCAGCCCAGTAAATTCTTTTCTCTATAAGACGAGGGCCTGGTAACAGGCCGCAAGCCCAGCAGTTGAAAGACACTGTTCTAAAGGGTTCTGATCATGGTGTGTAACACTCAGAATTACTGGGTTTTCAGACTTTGTCCATCGTCCGGTATTCTAAAAACTAGAAAGCACGTTTCGGAAACTGGATCTGTTTCCTTCCTCGGGTGAGGTGGTCCAGTGATTGAGGTTAGATCTTTCTAAGGGGCCCAACAGAGTTGGTATCTCCCAGTCACCTGAAGAGGGAAACAGATCCAGTTTCTAAAACGTTGAGTTTTCTAGTTTCTAGAATACTGGACAATGGACAAAGTCCAAAAACCTAGTTAATTCTTAATCATACCTGTCTGTCTGTCCGCACATAACTTAAGAACCACTGAAAACAATTTTCATAAAATATGATACAGTAGAGTTTTACTAAAATTTGTCTGCAGATTCCAATTTTGACTAAAACTATAAAAAACAATGGTAATTTGACATGAAAACTCATTATGTGTTTCTGTGCGCATCTTCACTGTATCTCACTAAGTACTTATTGGAACAAAATATGTTTCAAGCAAAAGCTGTTGAGAAAAATGAAACAAATTTTATGCTCAATATACTTTTGCGGTAAATTTTGTGGTTTTCAACATAGTTAAACATAAGGATCTTTTACACAGTGTCATCTCATAACTCAAGCACCAGTGAAACGACTTTGCCACTGCTTGCCTACCCCAACTGTTTTACGTTATTTATATGAGAGAATAAGTTTGCATTCATGAACTGAAAACCCAGAGCCAAGTAAATGTGCCAGAGTTATTACACTATGTATACACTTGCTAACTTCACTATGAGTGTAAACCTCATCTTTGTTCCCTGTGTTACTCTCATATATGATTCTGAAAAATTTAAATTATGTTGCTTAGATATTTATACCTCTTAGCAGATTTTGGTTTTGTGACATACAAATATATTCAGTTGTACCTACTGTATATCTATAACTAAAACCAATTCATTTACCAGAAAGTAAAAGAATATAAAGTTGTTTTAAGTACCAACACTTACTTTGAATTTAAACTTCTATAAATATCCTCTTGTGACGTACTTCGATTCTTGAGAACAGAGAAACCTCTGTAAAGAAACCAATGTTGAATTTCTCACAATGGGGAGAAACAATGCAAACAATGCAGATATCAGATGTGATTAACTAATGCATTCTGATTTATATGGTGCACTGCACAGTCTGAACACTATATTTAATTTCCCACAAGACTAAGATTAATTAAAAAAATGATCAGTGTGTCTACAGGATGCAATAAGTAATACAAATTGTTCCCAAATACAGCAAGACAATCAGAGCAGCCCCAGGACATGTAAATACAAAATACAAAAATAACGACACCAGTCAAGTGCTCATCCCTTATGGTCAATCTGCCTGAAAAGATTTCAAGATCACACGTCCGGATTTCTATATGTCATATTTTCTCCTAGGGTTTATTCCTATTTTTAAGTGTAACTGTATACATTTTTAGTCATTCTTACTGTACATATAAATGCATATTTTAGAGTTTTGTTGGTTTTACAGCATATTTTGGCATAATTTTGAGATAAGGTCATATTTTTGTCATTTTAGAATCAATTCTTTGATATAATGTAAAATTTTGGCTCCATAATGTTTTTTACTACAAAATAAATTTCAGACTGGACTGTTGCTAAAATGTGGTATAGAGTTCAAGTTCATGAAGTTCATATTAAAACCATATTTTTGACTGCACTGTACCTGCAGTTACAAAGACGAAAATTTGTGAAATGCAGCATTTATAACCTGGTTAGCCAGCCTTTTCCAGTCTCCGTCTTACTATACTATATACCATACAGTAAGACAGACTGGGAAAGGCCGGCTAGGCAGGTAAATACCCACTCCAGTCTTTCTTGGAGGGCTTAAAAGTATTCTATTTATATTTGTGTGGAGGGCCTTCAAACACTTCAGTTTGACGGTACAATGCCTGGAGTGAGTACATGTAGTTCAAGGAGTGCGTAGTTTTATACAGAAGTTTGGTGAAAAAGTGTTTAGTACTGATGGAGATATATTTTATTGCAAGTTGTGTGATATGAAAGTTATGACAGGAAAGTGATTTCCTGTGCAGCAGCACTGTAAAACTTCTAAACATGTGAGATGTTTAAACAGATTATCTACAAAGGTTAGCATACAAAATTTGTTGTTTAAAAGCAGTTCCACTAATTATTATTATTATTCAACAAACAATGGGTTGCAATTTTCGAAGGATTTGTGTCAATGGATGGTTTCTTTGAATATTTCATTAGAGAAATTACATAATCAGCACTTCAGAAAATTTTTGGAGACATACACTTGTCATCCTATCCCAAGTGAATGGAGAGACTTCTGATGTAGATGGGCAGTACAGGGTTTGTCCGGAAAGTAATTCAATTTGTTTTTCCCGCCACTCCTCCTGGTCGCAGNGGGGGGGGGGGGGGGACTCTTAGCTTCACAACACTTCCAAGCTCAGTCTGCTCTGAGCTCTGGGGACATCAGGATCGCTGTTTCTGTGAACCTCCTGTTAGTGCCTGTGTCACAATACACAATGGAGAGAACTATCAAACACGTTACGCGATCAAGTTCTGTGCTAAACTGAACAAAAGCCTTGCCAACACCCACCAAATGATTCAGGAAGCCTAGGGGGACTCTGCTCTCTCCTATTCTCAAGTCTCCAGGTGGTTAAAGTTGTTTAAAAATGGCCAGGAAGAGGTGGAGGATGACCCCTGCTCTGGATGGCCGTCGACCAGCAAAAGTGACAAAAATGTGTCTCATGTTTGTGATCTTTTAAATACTGACTGTCGCACTCGAAACGAGATCGCCGCTACCTGGCAGCTGCACCACGACAATGCTCCCAGCCACACCACTCTGTGCGTCCAGGTGTTTCTGGCCAAGCACAGCTTGGCAACGTTGCACCAGCCCTCCTACAGTCCTGACCTGGCTCCGGCAGACTTCTTTTTGTTCCCAAGGATCAAGACCGCCCTGAAAGGAACCCGTTTTGGAACCAGTGAAACGATCCAAACCGCCGTGACAATGGCTCTAAACGAGGTCCCCGTTGACGCCTTCCAGGATGCGTACCGTACGTGGAAAAGTCACTGGTAAAAGTGTGTGGATGCCCAAGGGAAGTACTTTGAAGAATTTTAAACGTTTGTAACGTTATCTTGAATACATTTTTTTTACGAACTTAATTGCATTACTTTCTGGACAAACCCTGTATATCATGAATATTATAGTTGGGACCCCTGAAACAAGATCAACCTGAAGAGATATTTCTCCTTGATGTGAAGTTCTTGAAAGAGCAAATCATTTAACTACAGCTGTACTTCATCATCACTGGCACGACAGCCCTTTGTGAGCCCTGGCCTTCCTCAGGATTGCTTGCCATTCTTCTCCATTCGATGCTACATTCCTCAGTTCTTTACACCCAAAATTCTTCTGTCCTGCCACACACATTCTTCCCATCTCAATCTTGGTCTTCCCACTTTCACCTTTATAAATCCAATAATGTCTGGTTCATTAAATAGTTTGTATAGCTCATGGTTTTACCTCTTCCTCCATATTCCATTTTCTTCCACTGGTCCAAATATATATCTCAGGATCCTCCTTTCAAATATACTTAACAGTCTTTCATTCGAACTCGACAGTGGCCAGGTCTCAGAGGCATACGATAGCACTGATCTTATAAGTACTTTATACATCATAGTTTTGGTTTTCCTGGGTATCAGTTGGGATTTCAGGTGTTTCCTAAGGCCATGGAGACATTTATTTGCCGCAAGTACAGGCTTTTTTATTTCATCACTGATGTAATTTTTACATTTAACTTCTGATCCAGGGTAAGTAAAACTACATACAACCTCAAATTTATATGAGCCAATTTCAATATATGCAGGTCCATTAGCACAGTCTTTCTTGGTTACCGGCATGTACTTTGTTTTATTTTGGTTAATTTGTAGATTCATCTTTTTTGCTGCTCTTTCCAAATTAAGAAAAGCTTCTTTCATAGATTTTTGTGTTCTACCAATTATATCAATATCATATGCAAATGCCAAAATTTGAACTGACTTATAGAATATAGTTCCCCTTGTGTTGATGCCTGCATCTCTAACTACCTTCTCTAATGCTATATTGAACAAAAGGCAGGCTACGGAATCCCCTGGTCTAACTCCATTTCTAGTTATTACAGGGCTGGACAACATATTTTGAATCTTAATTTGGCATTGGGTCTTTCTCATAGTGGCTCTGACTAAGGCGATTAACTTCCGTGGAATGTGCATCTATTCCATTGCCAGAAAAAGAATATCTCTATCTATGGAGTCATAGGCTGATCAGAAGTCAATGAAAAGATGATGTGTTTCAATTTGGAATTCAATACACTTTTCAAGGACTTGGCGAATAGTGAAAATCTGATCATTAGTTGATCTTCCTTGACGAAACCTACATTGGTAATCCCCAATTATGCCTTCCACAAAGGGAGAGAGTCTGTTAAATAGAATATTGGAAAATGTTTTATATGCTATGCACAACAGACTAATTCCTCTATAGTTAGAGCATACCATGACATTGCCTTTCTTATGGATAGGGCATACAATACTTAGGTTCCATTCCTCTGGGATTACTTCAGTTATCCATATCTTAACTATTAGCTGATGTGCTTAGCATATTCTGGGCCTGCAACTTTCACTAATTCTGCCACGATAAGATCCATTCCTGGAGCTTTATTATTTTTCAATTTTTTGATACCTTGTTCTACTTCTTTTATGGTTGGCACTGGCTCTTCAGCCTCAAAATTTCCTTGATTCTGCTCTATGGTCATACCTTCCGCTTGTTCGGAGGCATTACCATTTAATATCCTCAAAATATTGCACCCAATTCCAATATTGCTTCATCGCTACTCAATATCGTGCCTTCTTTATCTCTACATAAGGTTGTTCTAGGTTGAAAGTCCTTTTGACTCTTGTTCAGTTTTTGATAAAACGCTCTAATTTCGTTTGAACTTCTTAAATGCTCCAGTTCAATCAGTTCTTGTTTATCATATTCCCTTTTCTTCTTTTTATGTAATCTTTTCTCTTTTCTTCTCGCTTCATGGTATTCTTCCACGGCCCCTCGAGTATGGTTCCTTTGCTACATTTTCTTATATGCCTGATTTTTTTATTTATCGCTTGCTCACACTCTCCATCAAACAAATTCTTTTACTTTATCCTTTCCATTTTTCCTAAGACTGCATCAGCAAAATTTATAACAACATCTCTAAGGACCCTCCAGGCTTCACTGACATCCTCACTAACAGAGAGACCTGCCAGGCATTCACTAATTAATCCAGTATATCTGGTTGCAACTCCTTGTTCACCAATTTTCCACAATTCAATTTCTGAGCCTGGGATCCATGTATCTTCCTTGCATTAGATATTCGACTTCTAATCTTTGATATTATTAAGCAATGATCAGAGTCAATGTTGGCCCTGCTGTAGCTCCTGACATCCATCAAGTCTGAACAATGTCTTACATCTATTAGGATGTGATCAATTTGGTTAAACACATGTCCATCAGGGAATTTCCAGGTTCATTTATGTATATCCTTGTGATTAAACACTGTACTACCTACTACCATGTTTCTTGAGGAAGCAAAATTTATTAATCTCATCCCATTATCATTTGACTTGTTATGTAGGCTATGTTTTCCAATAACCAATCTATATACATCCTCATTCCCCACTTTAGCATTCATGTCCCCTATGATTATTTTACAATCCCTCTTTGGACATTCGCCATATATTTCATCCAGTTCATCATAAAAGGAGTCTTTCCCTTCATCACTTATATCTTCAGTTGGGCATGTGGACAAATAAAGCTATAGTTAAAAAACTTTCCCTTAATTCGTAGCCTACATGTTCTGTGAGATTTTGCCTGGAAGTCTAAAATAAGATGCTTCCTTTTTTTATTAACAATAAAACCTGTTCCAAACAAGTGACTCTTCTTCTGACAACTATAGTGTACAACATGATCTCTCTTTTCCATGACTCCTTTACCCAACCACCTCAGTTCTTGTATAGCAGTGATATCTAGTTTATAGCTATCTAGTTGTTCAAGTAGCATTTTTAGTGTTCTGGCTCTGTAAAGAGATAATACATTCCAAGACCAAATTCTCAAATCCTTTAAACATTCTCCAGGTCGTCTTGAATAGGTCCGTCCGGCTACTCTTTCCTCGGATTTCTGAACAATTTAGTTTTTACAGTGTGAGGTTGTTGGCCTCACACCCAACCCCCAACCTGGAGGACCAGGGTATCCCTCTCTGTCTGGCTCCTACCCCTTGACCTGTCTGGCATCGATGGCGCTACCAGTAGCTACACTACCGTTGGCATAGCTCTTAGGGATAGCTGTACTTGTTGTGGTCAAATGGAATACAGCGAAATAATGTCCTCCTCCTAGTAACAGATGCTGATCTATACATGAAGAAGGTTGCCAAAGGACTTCAAAGGCTCTACCCAAAAATGATCCATATTACTCGCCTCGCTCATGCATTGCATAGAGTGGCTGAAGAAGTTTGAGGAAATTTTCCAGATGTAGATAGGCTAATTTCAAATGGAAAGAAAATATTCACCAAGGGCCCTTTTCAAGTACAGAAATTTAAAAAAGATGCTCCTCTACTGCCACTTCCTCCACAGCCTATCATCACACGGTGGTTACATAGTTGGATGCTGTCGCATATTATTGTGAAAATTACACAGACATTGAGAAAGTGTTTATTGGCTTTGATAGCAGTGAGTCAACATCAATTAAAGCTCTCAAAGACTTCTCTACCTCTAGCACAAAATCTGACAGATATGAAGTCAAACTTCTGTTCAGTTTCAACTCGCCTGGAACCTGTAGGGACTGAACTCCGTGACACACTGGACACTGTAAAAACCATAAGAATGAACGAAACCAATCTCGTGGTGAAGTAAGTGGCAAGATTAAAACCAAAATAGAAAGTGCTCTTCATCGGAATGCTGGTTATTCAACAACATGCAAAGACTGAAGATATACTTCCTGGTAAACCAGCAACATTCAAAGGTGATCCAAAACTGTCACCAAATGACCTGATATTCTTCAAATATGCTCCTGTCATATCATGTGGTTCAAAATACAAAATTATCCTCAGTGACAATCAGCGATCTTTAAAATTTGAAAATTTGAAAATTTGAAAATGCATGTAGTTATAAATGGCAAATGTAACAGTGAAAATTGAGATGTAAATAACTTGTATTGCAGAAACATTGAAAACTGAGATCAGAATAAGTTTGTGTTCTTTTAAATGGTGTTTTTAGATAACAGAGTCAAGTTAATGTTCATATCATGTGCACCAGTGTTTGTCTAAAATATGAATGCAAATATCAATACTAAAAAGAAAACAAGTAATGGTTTAATTAAGTATGAAATGTGATAAGAAAAGATCATTTTAAATTACATACAACATATTAGAAGAAATACTTCATCAATATAATGATGAGCCATTTTAAACCACTTTTACTTACATCAAGACATCCTCATACTCAATGAGAACCTCTGGTCTAATGGATGCAATACTCTTTAAGAAATTTCTATAAAAAAAATAAACTCACGGTATCTTCTTCTTTTGAACTTTTTCACAATTTGATAACTTGGACAAGGTGTTCAAGACTCGATAAAAATCTGTCAAGTCAAATAACATGGACGGCTCAAACAAGTCACTCTGTTTCAATCCAAAGATCTCATGGCAGGCTTGCAAGAAGATCTTGATGTTCCGAAGGCAGAGAAACTATAAAAAGAGTAAAATATCTCTAAAATGCATTTATTAAAATGTGATCAATTTTTGTTGTGTGTCATCGTAGTAAGATTATTTCAAATCTATTTAAGTATGTTGTGAGGTGGAAATGTATCCATGAAGATTTAGGTTTCTTGAAGGATAAAGGTTTACTAGTCTCTCTACTGGGAACATTACTACATCAATAGAAATAGAAATTCTACTCTAAGGTCACAAAAGCTATGAATTTCAGTGCTGGTTGTGGATGAGAAAACAGACATGAGCAAAACAAGTTGGTTTTTTCTTAGATGTAACATGGCATTTACAGACTTTATTTTAGAGCGTGTTTTCCTATTCCTATTTCCTACTTCTGTTTCTATCATTTCAGAACTACCAACCAGCACAATCAGTCAATTCTCAGATGTATAGAGAATGGCTCAGACTCAACTGAAATTATTCATGCTCACATGTTTTGGGACACTGGCTTTGTCTCTGAGAGAACAATGCTACAATAGTATCAAACATCACTGTGATAATACTACAATTGAGTCAAAGAGCATGTTAAGTAGTGGTTACAACTGTGAGGGGATATGGTATGATATACTGTCAATGTGACAGTTTGTACAATTGGTATGTGAAGTATGGTTCTGCTTGAAAATGTTGGAGGAAATGTCATAATCCCAGGGTTCCATGAACTAGCATTCACTTATTAACAGTCAGGCTCCTGGGGCACTTACAGACAAGAAACCCCTTAAAAATGGAGTTCAGTACACTTGGTTGTCGACTTATGACTTGATGACATTGATGACATCAGGAGTAATATAAAGGCAGCTCTAAAGGCCATTCCACAAAACCAGTTCCAAAATTGTTTTGGTGGGTGGACTACAAGCTGGCATCAGTGCATAGCTTCCCAAGGGGAGTACTCTGAAGGTGACCACAGTGATATTCAGCAATGAGTTCACAAACTTTATTGTCAGACCACACATACCATGTGTTTCAGAACTTCATGCCATTACTTCAGGAAGTTATTCTTGTGGTCTTCAGAAAGTTATGACATAAGGTCATGAAACACCTGTATATGGCTAGTTTACAATATCACATTTATCTATTGCTAGATCTATGGTACAGCTAACACATCTAACAAACTATCGTAAATTACTGAATCCTAAATTAGTCACTGAATTCTATGTAAGTTACTAGTCTTAATCATGTTATGCAAGTTGGCACCAATGCATGGCAGATCCTCAAAGGATTACTCCATCTTTCTAACCTGATTAGAGCAGACAAAAATAGAGTATAGCCATCACTATGTTGTAAAAACAAAGCAGTATAACTTTCATATTAAGATTTATGAACTTTCACTTGTGAAACACAATTATTTTCTAAATATAATGTAAATTCCAAGACCTCGCTGCTCCTACCTGTGCCATCTGAGGCTTCTGGTTAATATCCTTCATATCGATGCACCCTGGATCCAAAGTATTTAACAAATTGCATAACAAAACTCCATCCCTCAAAGTGTACGCTAAATCCGAGCAGGAGGCTTCAGGCCAGTTTGCTTTGTGATCTTGGCGCAAAACGTCACATCTCGTCAACCAGTCTGAACACTCTTTCCAAGATTCACTGCCAGAAGCCATGATTCTCAGGTTCCCAACCGAATTTACCATTGATGTTACGGTGCAGGGCTTTTGCTATATGCATTTATAACCCACCATTCATATCGAACCAAATGTTTGCAGAAATCACTCCACACATCACAACGGACACAATATCAATATCATCCTTTCTGATAACAACCACGATAACAGATGATAATAATTGGTACAGGTCACGTTCAGATTCTTACGTTCCTTTCATTATGTTCAATAACACACGGAGTGTTGGTTAAATTAAAACCAAAACAAAATTCAGGAAACACAATGTAAACTTAAATACAAATAATTTTATATTAAAGCAAAACTATTAGAGGGCTGAAATGATTAATATCTAAAATAACCTCGATTAAATTACACAGAAAGTCATACGTGCCACCGTAATCAAGTGTACATGCTTTCTTCGCTGCAATATTATGATCGTCATGATCGTCATGACCGTCATGATCAGCCATTGCCCTACATTTCTGTATACCAACGATACCGACTATGTATGAATGTCATGGATCATTTAACTGCAGTACAAAACATACTCAAACACTTATAAGTGTATTTAGTAGTCCATTGTGCATAACACATAAAAATGGAAATAAAGAGGTGGACACGTTAGTACAACGGGTAGGAATGCTAACTATCATACAGCTTCAACAATTTCTTGCCTCCCACCAAACCAGAACTAACATCAGACAACTAAGCGGTCCAAAGCATTTCGAAACTCGCCCCACTTCGAATAAAAGGAAATAGATTTTTAGTTGGTCGATGCTGCATGAATATATTTACAGTAATCTGGATTATAGAAAATGGCTAGAACAAAATTTGGGCCCCCATTTGACCTTTAAATAATTATTCATAAAAATTATACTTATTACACTAATAGTCTTATTATCTCGTGTATTCGTGACCGTTCGTGACGATAGACGGGATTCCGATTGGTGAAAGGATTTATTGACTACGTATACACACGATTCGGAACTAGAAGCAATTAACAGCGCCAACGCTAATCTACACACTTCACAAATCACGACGATCACACGCTAAACCTCAGTCTTTCATAGTCCTCGTTGGTCGCTGCTTGGTAACAGCTCTCAGCAATAGACTTTTCAGCTTCTGCCCTCACGTCGTTGCTGTACAGCGAATATCCCACAACTGAACTCATTCAAGTCCATAAAGTCAAAGTCAAAATCACATTGCAGCTGGCGGTAGGTCGGTCACTCAGTCTTGGTGTCGACCCCATCTGAGGATCAAACTACTTGACAGTTACATTCTTGTTATTGTGGGACACCCTATCTGAGGAGAGGACGGGTCTCGTCTTTTGTCAGAGTCACTGTCTACAGTAGTAAGTTATTTGTCATAATGTATTTAAAATTTACATGTTAATAAATTTATATAAAATATATAAAGGGTCTCTGTCAGTCCAGGCTCAGTAGAGTAGATTATGTCCTATTTCTGGTAGCGTCTGCTACAACGGCACTTGAACGAGCGCATGCTTGACCGCCGCGAAGTTTAAGCCTCTTATACTTCACTGAACCGATTGTTCCGACTGTCCTGGTTATAATATCTCGGTATGGCCGCATAGGAGACACTTTTCTTCTATTGTTACGTTAGTGCCCGTTGTCGAAGGAACGTGTTTACCAAGCTGCTGTCCAGAAATGACGGCGGCGTGCACCACAGAAAACACTGTTATTCTATTGTTGCGTTCATGTATGTTGCGGGCATTACCAAGTAACGGCCGCTCTTTATAGAGTCAATGCTTAGCATTCTTCCCGAATGGCCTTCAGGCGCACCGCCATTTCTTCTCTTCTGAGGGCCGTGTTTGTGACGTCTGTGATCGGTCTCGCCTTCCTTCCGGGTCTATAGGCCACATTGCTCCCTCTTTAAGGCCATTCTTCCCGAATGGCCTACAGGCACACCGTAATTTCTTCTCTTCTGAGGGCCGTGTTTGTGACGTCTGTGATCGGTCTCGCCTTCCTTCCCGTGGCTCAGTTTTCATGGTGTTTACTTTCCAACTGCTCCCGCTGCTTCCTCCTTAACGCCGCTCGCCCGAGCGGCTAACAATGTGCGAGCCGGTCCAAGTGTACCTCCATCAGCCTCGATCTAGGGTTCCGCTGGGTCCTGTATACCCCATCATTTATCCGAGTTACTACCTTGTATGGGCTTCCCATGAGGATTGGAGCTTCGGCGATTTCCCCTTTGTGTGGGTTGAGCGATAGAACCACAATCTGTCGCCCTCGTGGTATCCCGCGCAGTTGGCCAGTCTGTCGTAATGGAGTTTTCATCCGGTCACTGGCCAGCGTCAGATGTTGTGCGGGCATAATTGAGGATGTTGTCAAGATGGTCCACTAAATTTTCCGCATGACTGATTGTGGCCCCTTTCTTGTCGGGGTAGGGTAGGGCAATAGGAGTTCTCTCCCGAACATTAGGCTAGCCGAGGTCAAGCCCATACTGCCGTGAGTGGATGCCCTGTAAGCCAGGAGGAAAATGGATAATCGCAGGTCCCAATCCCTCTGGTGCAATGCAACCACCTTTGCAGGTGCTCCTAGACCGTTATGACGTAGTGTTCCACCATACCGTCCGACTGCGGGAGCAGGGGCGTGGTGCGCTTCTTGCTCACTCCCAGGCGTTACAAAACCTCCTGTATCAGATGAGACTCGGAGTTACGGCCCTGATCCCTATGTAGCTGCGCGGTACTCCGAAGCGGCAGAAAAGTTGCTAACTAGAGTTTCCGCCACTATCGAAGCCTGATCATTGGGCTTCTGACCACTTTGTACAATCCACAGGAATCACGAGGTATCGTTCTCCTTGCTTGCTCCATGGGAAGGGGCTTGTACATTGATGGCTATCCTCTCAAACGGGGTCCCAACATTGTACTGAGGCATTTGGCCCAGATTCCTGGTCTGGGGGCCATGACTGCCAGCACATCTCAATATCATGCAATGTTTATAGATTTGTAGAACATTGTCTTCCCCAGAGTCCATTGCACAAGATGCTTATCAGACAATACAAGAACCCTTGGCGCTCAGGATTATCCTGTGAGTCGAACACAAGATGCCTGACCAGGGAGGGACACTGTATCTCATGCAACTAGGCTTCGATCTCATCAAGCTTTGTCCCAAGTGCAATATTCCTATTGAGAAGAACGATGGCTGTGCTCAAATGACATGCAGATGTTGCAAACATACCTTCTGCTGGTAATGACTGACATCATTAGATGCTGACGCTCTACTGAGACATTATGATAAAGGTCCATGTAAGAACAAACTTGGCTATTCTCGAACAATGCTTAACTGTTATGAAACACTAATGATAACACTCATAGATGTATTCAGGATCCTGTTTCTGGTTGCATCTCCTCTCCTTCTGCTAGCAGAACTACGTATTGTTTGGTACAACCGTCGAGTTGCCCACCGGTGGAGGCATGGGAATGGAGAGTCTGAGTCGAGTTCAGAGGCAGGCACTCCAAGACAGAACCAACCTGCAAGAAATGGAGGCCGAAGTAGATGTCTTCGAAGATTAAAAAAATGGACTCCATGGATTTAGAGGTCACTCGAAAAAAGTCAGACACCATAGTGGAGCACCAGGAAGTCCCTAAAGAATAAGCCACAGTGGAAACTATCATGACACTGGAGCACCGATATCTAGCCATAGGGCACCACCGACAATGACTGCGCACGCAACAATTGATATAGCAACAGAGGAATGGTATTTTCTGTGTGATTCATGCCGAGTTGTTATAACTGGATCAATTAGTGAAAGTAAGTGCATTTCAATTGAGTGAAGTGGTTGGCTGGTGAATTAAGAGAACTGCTGAGGTTCAGTCCTTGTGACACGTTGCTATTAGAAGCCGGCAGCTGAGATATTCCTTTTTCATTAGGATTTTCTTCCAGCTTGCCTATCAATTCCCTGACTTTCTAATTTAATATCTTAATACATTTAGGTGGATGGAATTGTTTCATTCTATGGATGTGTCCAAACATTTAATTCCATTAATTTTCATCCAATTAGACATATATTTGAACTTCACTTATTAAAATATAAGAACATAATTTACTGGATATATTCACGCAAATATTATAAATAACACTTCCTTTATACTCATAGCTCATTCCATCCTGTCAGGTAAACTAAAAAACTTGGTTTAAACATTGAAAGAGTACCATCATTGGAATATATTTTAAAAACTACAGTATTATGAACCCTGTAAAAATTCCACCACTGTATCAAAGTGCAACTATGGTCAGGACTAAACTTACACCCATTCTACTTTAATACAAATAAATGACATGAAAAATCAACCACTTCCTTTTTACAGTATAACACACATGAAGCCACTATTTCAATGTGAACTGTTTTCTGTTTGCTTGAACTCTGCATAATCAATAAATCCATCATTGTTTAAATCGCTATTCCTCAGGAGAGCATCAATCATGCTTGAAAACTCTTCATCTGAATAAACAGGCTGCTGGTCCACATTTTCTGGAGGCATACTTGTTTCTGAACAAAGGAAAGCACAATCTTCTTAAGAACTCTAAAATTACACACTTTATACAACATAACAAATTACAACATTCAAAGTCAGCAAATTATGATTCAGTGAAGCAGAACCTTGTGTGTAAAATGTTCATGTATGCTTATTCTACAGAATTGGGTAACTATACTGTCTTTCCTGAAGCAGAGTATTTACTGCTTATGCAAACTAAGCCTGAAAGTACTAATGTTAACCCTCCTCAGAAAGAAATAATATGCCTACATCTTATTCTTTCCCAGGACTAATTCAAATAACCACACCTAGTTTTCATACGTTCCTCTGTAATTTTGTTACCTACAGCAAACTACTAAGTTACGTACTAACATACGTGAGTACCTGGCTGGAAGACAAAACTTTCAGTTGAGTCACACTGTACAACTGCATGAATGTTATTCTCAAATCTCCATCCAATGAGAATAAACAAACAAGTTCTCACTATGTATCAGTGTTACAGCTTCAATTTTCAGCTCTGAATTCAGAATTCACAAGCATTTACTGCACACTTAAATACACCATGCATAAAATTTCTCTGCGCACAATAATGAAGATTAAAACATTATACTCCGATTATACTTGAATGGCAGTGAAATACATACTGACATCATGAAAACCATGTGCAAATATGCTGACACATTACTTCTTTTGAATATAATAAAGCAATATGTCCAAAGACATACAGAAACAAAGTATGATTCGTGTGTCAGATTCAGCCTCAATAAAGTTAAATCAATTATCAGTGCATCAATGGGCTGTATGAGCTGGATATAGCTTTCCTCTTCTCTGAATATAATACAAACCTTGTTGCTACAATAATTTTGCACTGGATCACCATTTCACAAGACTGGATTTAATGATGTACATATCCACACAAACATCTTTAGATATGCGTGAGAAAGGGAGGAAATATATTATCTAAGGTTTAAAAAACTTACACAGTTTTTAATAAAGAACTATATACACTAACTATTCAGGAAGGGAAATAAACCCAAGATCAGACTTACACTATTTAACCAGGCATAAGACAAGATGGTACAAATCTGAGCAAGTAAGTTTATTTCATAATGTTACTGGGAATATGAGAATCATCATGAAAAAATCATCTGCAAATGAAGCCCAAATACATCTACCACCTTTGAGAATCAAGGAAAGTTTGAGGCCAACAGCATTATGCTAGGCATGCAAACACAACATTCTGAGACATCTTCACATCAGGGAACTTGCTGTTTACAATCACACAACCCATTATATATCTATGAACAAGCACTGTTCTTCTCTGAACTGTTCAATGTATGTAATTACGCTATTAATCTCTGTATACATTTTTTAGGCATCACATAAGAACACTGCATATTTTCATTAAATAAGCATTACAACAAATACTTATGGACAATATCTATTCTGATATGGTTGGTAATTCACACCAAAATAACAAAATATTGAAAATTATACAAATATATAATTACTGCTACTAGAATTTTGTTATGTAATATGTAAATATTTTGCATTTAAGAAACCCACTAGTTTAAGGAAATAACAAAGATCTTAAATCTCTGAAAAACAACATTTATGTGACAAATTAAGCATGCCTCATGAATATTTTGAGACACACCTAAATGGTAGCATGGAAATACTTACTTTAATAAGCTCAATAAAAAAAAACATTTCAAGTGAAGTTTCTAAGGGAGGGTTTTTAAAAAGAATTGGACAATTTAAAGGAAAGTGGTATACGGTTTAAAATATCATACTGTATACAGTCATACTTATCTAAAGAATATCAACCACAGAGAATTACCCGAAGGAAAACTGAATGTGCTCAGTCTTTATAATAGAGTATCTTAAAACTTATTCATACCCTGAAGAAAATACCATTAACTTGTCCTTGTTAAGATGACACTTCTGCTGCCATTCTGTTCACTGTAATTTTGTCATCTCCTTTCAGCTTCAATTTACTAAAAATTGACCTTATAAATAAACCTGCTAATGCATACTGCCATCACATACATATATTAAACTCCAGAATGTGCCACTTATGTGGCACAAGTGTCTTAGTTTGTCTGTCACTGCATCACTAAGCTGTCCAAGACATCCTTCATAATGGATCATGTTCATTCCACTTCTCTTCATGTTACTATATAGCAACAGGCATCCATTCATTAAAATATATGTCACAAATCTGAAAGTAACCTTCATCAATAATGACCAGCCACCATAAAGCCAAAAATCCAACATAAATGCCTCACACAAGCCATGTCTCACATTAGGCAGCCAACCTCAATAATCGATCACACTTGAAAGCAATGCTATGGTTACATTTCCTACATCGTGCACTATCAGTGCACAATCCAATAAGTCATTTCCTACATATGCACCATTGAGGTATCATATTACTGTTAAGAGCAACATTGAAGTTTCTTTTATTTTGTTGCATTTAAAGTTTTGGCAAGTAATCATACATGTTAGTAAACCAGGTAATTTCTTGCAACTGTTATTTTGTAGCATTGGTGGTTCTGATTTTGACTTTGCATTCTTTGTTAATTAGTCATTCCTGTGAGCTGTAGGAAAACTATCAAGAACATGGAAGATAAAAGTCTGCATGAAATGACAACATTCTATAAGAAACTGATTGAATTAGTAGACTCCAAAAGTATGAATGGTATGGTATCCTTTTCTTTTCTAAATATGAACTAAATTCTAATCACTACCATATGCTCAACAGATTACAGAATCAAACAAGAGAAACGGTGACATCACAAAGACCTAATTTCCACCTGCCAGGAAAGGATACTCTGTCAGAGCATGTAGTGCTGGCATTGTTAAAGTCTGCAAAGATTACTGACTGTTGTGATGAAATGTTATTGGTTCTACCACCTCATGTGCAACATGCCTTTCTCTAGAACTTATTAAAGGTTATTCACTTTAAAAGTTTGGCACATCACATAAACTTTTTAACTTTTTCAATACATGTTTCAACCAATGTGGTCATCATTAGGCATTTAAAATTATTATAGTTAAGGAAACTGCTGTACTTCCATTATTAATTATTAATGTACAACCCTAGCTGTGTACTTGTGTATGCATTTGTAAAAAAGATACATAGCACAACAGGAAGAACAACCCATCACTTGGAATACACAGGCATGCAGACTGGACCATATATTAAAATCTGATAACCGAAGTCATGATAACAGAAGCACAGCAGTTTCTTTAACTATAATAATTTCAAACACCTGATGATGACCATATTGGTCGAAACATGTAGTGAAAAACTTTTAAAAAGTTTATGTGATGTGCAAAACTTTTAAAGTGAATAACCTTTAATAAGTTTTAATAAGACACGTTGCAAGTGAGACAGTGGGGCCAGTAACATTTGATACTAAGTGATGTGCAACAGGATTCTACAATATAACACTGTGATGAAGGTGAATAAAAAAGTTCCTTGCAGGCTTGGATCATAACATGAAGTACTGCTGACCTACAATGCGCAATAAAAGAACTTTCATATCTGGTACCTTTCTGTTGAAGAAAGGTCACTTAAAAAGGTTTTCTTTGAGGTGTATTTTGTAATGCTGTTAGTGACTCAAAGTGTCAAATGGAAAGATTGAAGATTGTACTGGAAAGGATTTGGAACAAATCTGTCATGGCATAACTGAGGTATCATCCTGGTATGTGCCTGTAGGCATTGCAGAAACCTATGAAACACCTCAGTCAGGATAGCTGGTGTCCTGACCAAGATTCAAACTAAGCACCTGCTGCTGCAGCAGCCCTACCAACCCACTCAGTCAAAAAGGAGGGACTGTAAGATCTTACAGAGGACAAATACTCTTGCATCCAAAAACACACTTCAATTAAATATAAATGTAGAGCAACAAGAACTGTGAAATCTGAAATGTCAACACAGATTGGCTGCAAACATAAAAATGTGATTTTTCAATCATACTTATTATTTCAATTATGACAACTTTACGTATCTCACACAGTGAAATCGAACAAGTAAAGCTGTGATCGCCCAACTGAAGAAATCAACCAAAAACCTTGCAGTCAACAGACATTCTTGCAACAGAGACAATATACACTCAGAGCCATTCTCCTAAATTATCATTACTCTGTTTCTAAACATCAAAACATAAGCTCTGGCTACCCAAAGTTTAACAATAGCAAATCTGTACTACTGTTACTAAATATATTGTTTTAAATAAACAATATCAATTCTGAAACCTAGTTCAGCGTAAATGATATATTATAGACTTCATGGATCCTTTATTTCATGTTCTGGCCCAGATGGTGGACACAGTATCTACAATGGTCTGGCAGTCAAAAATTCTGCACAGCATTTATTAAGGAATTATGTCAATACTCATAAAGGCTGGTTATGGTCATGATCACATACCAGCAACAAGTTAAACTAACATGAACATGTATAATTCACATAAACTTCTGGGCACAAGTTCTTTCTTTGCATTACTGATCCTTGAAGCAGTAACCTTACAGATAATATCAGTTTAAAAATCTGTATTTTTTAATTTCAATAAAATTGTTATAACACAAATAAAAAAAGTATTACTTTCATCATACATTATGTTTGCTATGTAGGCTTAGTGTTGCTATTGTCTGATGGAGAATTCTTATCTGACAATCGGTTTCTATAAGACAATTATGTGAAAATTAAGAGCTTCATATGACAGCACATACCAAAAAGCCATCAATCAAGCCATATTCCTTACATTTCCACGCGGTAAGAATTTGACTGCACGCTTCAATACATACTGGGGTGAGCTTCTGGGTGTTGGGAAAGATATTACTTTTTAAACTGATCTACTTGGAGATATATGTGCCTTGAAAGTGATTTAAAAGGCAGTAATTTACAGTCATTCCCACCAATATAAAACATTACAACTCAGAATTATGACATTTTTTAATATTCTGTGCCAAAAATTGAGTTCTCAATGCATCTGAAAAGAAATGATTTTCCTTTTCTTTTCTTAGATTTTCTTGCCATTTAAATGCCACAAAGTGAAAGAAACACAAAACCTGAACCTCAACATTACTTTGCATCATTGTTTGTTGAACTTTCAAAACATTAACACGTCTAAAAACACAACAGCAGAATGTACACATTTGTATTATCTGTCTCTTGACACAGAAGTTTCTTGAAAACATCTTAAGCACCTTGTGGCCAATGCTGAAGAATCAATCAACTTACTTCTTTTGAAACTGTCTGATGAAAAACATTTTTATTCTTCATTTTTTCCGCACACCACCCAGGAGATACAAAATGTAGAACAATGTGTAAAGAATTGTTCAAGAGATCTCAACCCATGACAATTTTATATCATTTTCACTTTTTCCTGGGAACAAATTTAAGGCCTTTTATTTGTGTACTGAGTTTAAGGCCTTAATTCCATGTGGGGTGCCTTCAAAAGGCATGATGGTTGGACATATGAATTAATACAGTTTAGTATTGCCAAAATATCATTGGGATAGTAAATAAAACATGTTTGTTTTGCCTACATTCTAAAATTTTATTATATTTTCAACCGTTACTGAACCATACTTTTGGTCCCAGAAAGGAGTAATATCTTTCATAACCCTTATTAACCTAAAACGAGGATACAGTTAATCCAAAACACAAACATTATGGCCAGTTTACACTGCACCAGTATCTGCAGAGTGGATTCATGATGGCTGTCGTCCACCTCCTCCTGCTTTCTGTTGGGCCTGCACAAATTCTGGGTAATCAATGAAGCCATCCTTGTTGCCATCATCCATGTTGAGGATAGGGTCAATAAGCTGCACCAGTTCATCATCCTTGAAAATTTTCTCCCCAGTTGGTGCAGGATTGTTAGGGTCATGGTGACCCTGTTCTGAATGGGTAAATGGGTGAAAAGTCAACATAAAAAGCAATGACAAACCCACAATAAAGCAAGCACAACAAACACATCCCTTGATTTCCACACATTAAAAATAACACGCTGAATTCAGTGATTAACCTATATGATTTGAGTTCTTTTGAGTAGTTTAATTATGATACAGGAATACAGCAGAATCATATAATGGAGTTTCAGTACTAAAGATGCACTCCACATGTGAGCCAGTTTCAACACTGTAATCTCCACTGATGTGCAACTCCTGGCTTTAGTACGGATAAATTCTCTAACACAGTTTTCCTTCAGAAATTAAAGTCCAGTTACAGTACACTGCAATGCAAGTTTAGCCTAGATCTTAAACTTAACTCACAGTGAAATCCCAATTTAAGGGTGCTCTGGGGATCAGTGAATTTGAACACTAATCCAAGTATACAATCTAAAATTGTGGGAATTTAACACAGAGATTATTTACTTGGGATCACTGAAAACGAATATTAAATGATGGGAAACTTTAAATCAAAATAAGTTAATTGGGTGTTCAAGTGTAGCAGCCCCTTAATTTTTCCAAGTTTTCAAATCTATTGGATGCCATTTATAATCAATAATAACATTCTGGTGCTTTAATCATCAAATAAGTTTTCTTTAAAAAATAGTGGCCAAATATTTAATTTCTACAACTTAATCCAGAATATCTGCATCTTTAGGGCATGAGCAGTTTCTGCAAACATACATTCCACCTTTGCATTTTTAGTGCAATAAAATGAGGGTGGCCATGACACATCTTAAAGAACAGCATCATCCTTATATTTAACTCTTTAAATCAAGAATTTTACATGAAAATGCCATTCAGGACACTTGAACTCAACTACTACATTTGAATCCTCTCCTGATAATTATTGAGGTTCAGGACGCTGGGTTCATGGGCTGGGAGATCAATGATCTGGTAAATACAATGCACATGAAAGCAACAGAAAACTTGATGATTAAAAATGCATTCACAGCAAAATACCAAACCATGCAACACCCTTCTTATCAGCCTTATTTAATTTGAATGTTAAAGCTGCTCACATGAATGCCATTTTAAGTGTTTTGAAGAGGTTGTAAATGACATAGCTTTATGTAGGCTTGTACAATTTAAGTTCATAAGTTGCATCACAACACAGGTAGTCTGCAAAAAAACTGCACATTGTCAGTCAGTGTTTATAGAGTAGGACCTGCTGATTTCATAATAAATGAAAAACTAAAAATATTTACACATGGGAAGTCAAAGGTACTGACAACTTGTCAGCCACAAAACAGAGCCAATCTTCAATTGTCTTACTAAGCTTCAAACCAAACGAGCAAGAGAGATGACATATTTTCTTCCTGACTTAACACTGATAGATTTTGGTAATATGGAACTATTATTCAATAAAATGTCTGTTTTATTATTGGTTTTAAGGTTTTTAAATTGGCCCTGGTAGGACAGATTATACTTGTGAAGCTCAGAACACAAGACAGTCATACATGCTTCCAACAATGGTGGAACCACTAGGTCACAAGGGAAAAGCTTTGGAAGGGACAGCACTGAAGAACCTCAAAATGTGTTAAGTATAACGGAGATAGGTGTCTGAGTGGACCCTATAGCAAGTCTGGACCCTTTGGGGAGGTCCAAAACTTCTAGATGATTTCAATTTCCTGATTCATACAAACAAATGTGCGAACTGTAATTAAATAAATTAATTCAGATGTAATTTTCTTCCATGCCTTGTACTCCCTGGAACACACGTTTGTCTACAATCAGCAACCAAGTGCAACAAAGCACATTAATATTTTATAAATATAAAAATGATTTAGATACCACACTGAATTACATAAACACAAATTAATTTCAACAGCATCCATTCGTAAAACACAGCATTAGCTGCCAGAAGAAATACCATAACACAGTTGCTTTAGTCTTCAAGTACTATTGCTGAAAGGCCCAATCACCTAAGCTTAAACACATTATAAAGTGACCAGTGGACATATTTACCATGCCAATGAATCAATGACTTGATGAGTTCACAGCCATCCAGCTTGTTATTGTTATCAGCATCATGCATTTTAAAATAATGAAACTGCAGTTCTTGCTCTGACATTTTGCTAGTATCAATTGGAACTTCCATATGTTCTTGGATGTGCCTTAAAACATGAACAAAGAAGTTAATAACTACATTAATGTATTTTGCAAAGGAAGCTGTTAAAGGCAGTAAACATGTAAACATTCATTAATTAGTACCTTGAAAAACAAAACTGTAATTCTTTTTACTTTCAAAACATTAACACGTCTAATCATCATCATCATAATCATCATAATCATCATCATTATCATCATCAGACGGACAGAAGAAAACAGTACAAATAGAGTGTACCCTTGATTATAAATGGTAATGAGGGACAAAAGTAACTCGGGTACTTAAAAACAGCAGGCAATAAAAAAATTTGAAAACATCTACTGCTGACCTGCATTCAATCCTGATAATCAATTCTTACTTACTAGTTGCACTACTAGTCTCTAAACAGAGAGGCAAATATCTTTCCAGTAGAATAACACAACCCGTATTCAGTGGTAGCAAACCAAAATGAAAAGCAATATAACAGCTGGACAGAAAGTTTCAACAGTCCAAGAGGATGTACAGTCTACAGGAAATCACTGTAAAGCATCACTGACATATATTAGGGAAACAGATGATGGACAATACAATTATGGATCAGGCCAGTGATTGCAAGTAAAATTTAATTCCTTCTGGTAGGCAATGAGATCAAATTTTAATGGTTAACAGGCACGAACAAATCAAAGAGGAAAGGCAAAGTTAAGGTCCTTATAGCTCACGTGATCAGCTTTAAATACATTGCAGTTAAATTAATACCTTATCACTCTTCAGCATTCTTCATATATTACTAATGGGATGACATTTTAATATGTCAGACTGAAAGAGAAAGGACTTCACACTGTTCAAATCAACTTACTGTTTTTCATGTGCAATATTGGCTGCATTAAGTATCTGTCCTTGTTGTGGTGACTGGTGTCCATGATGAACTTGCTGCACAGGAATTTGTTGCTGCTGTTGAACTGGAACCTGCTGAAAAATATTGAACAGTACATCTTACACTTACAAACCCATACATAAAAGGTTCTGCATTCTGTGCTATACAAAACAGATACAGAACTGTTTGTATAAGTAACTAAGAGGGGTGGTAATTATGTGTAGGAACCTGAAATAATATATAAAAATTTCAAAACTACAGCCTAGCTGCAATTTAACAATCCTTTGCATCACCTCTCAGTGCTGTCCACCTTGGAGCAGCAGTGGCATAGAAAAGTCACATCAGTGGTGTATAACATGTAGGAACTATGCTACTGACAACACAACAAATATTTCAGTATTACAATTAGATCTTTATTTACTGCAACATGTTTCGGTCATACATGACCATCATCAGGCAGGAATATGTATAGTTATTGAAATACCAATATGGATCCTTATCGGTGCAAAGCGTCGTATTAAATATTAACATAAAAACTTTGCCTCAGATTAGTGTATAGTTAAAATAGCAAAAACATGATTAAGATTAAAAAATAAAAGATAAAATAAAGGTATACCATATATAAAATGTTGAAATATTAGTAAACATATAAAGGTATGTTAGAAGTATATAAAAGGTATTTAACAAATATACGAGTATGTAGGGTTAGGGATCTGTATGCCAACTAAATTCTTTTTTATTTTAAGGAGATATCCTGCTAAAGTGTAGAGTTGGGTGTGTATGTTGCATAGGTCTTGTTGCAGAAATTCTACATAATAAGACCGGTATATGAGGCCCAAAGACAAGTTTTCAATGACATACAAGTTTGATGGTATATGGGTATCTGGTATGGTATTCCCATGCTATGTATCCTATATATAAAACTTGCAATGTGGCACATGTTTCTTGTCTGGGTGTATACACGTTCGGTGTGTATGGTGTGTTCTACACCGTGCACCGCACCATACACACCAAACGTGTATACGCATTGTGTTGACAGTAGCATATGTAGGGCAGGCAAAAGGTTCCCGGAATTCCCCTGCAGACGGAGAACGAGCAATAAGATAGCGCACACACCATTGTGGTGGGGAGCTCAGCATGTCTACTCGCAGGCGCAACAGGTCTGGACAGGTTTCAGTGTGCAGTGTCATTACTGTTTGAATTAGACATGAGTATTGGTCATTTGGCGCAATGTCACAGTTCAAACAGTGTGTGAACATCAAGTTCATGAGCAAATTGGGAAAATCTGCTTCAGAGACGCAATCGGCCCTGCAGCAAGTTTACAGTGATACTGCACTAAAGAAATCTGCAGTTTACGACTGGTTTTCCCAGTTTAAGAATGGGCAGGAGACGTTAGAGGATGACAAGCGCAGCGGGAGACCTTTGACATCCAGAACCAAAGAAATGATAGGAAAAGTGTGACAACTGATTCGATGTGAGCGACGAATGACCATCGCAGTGTTGGAGCAAGAAGTCGGTATCTCTCATGGATTCATTCATGCCATTTTGTCTGATGATCTGAAGATGAGACATGTCAGTGTGAAGTTTGTTCTGAGGCAGTTGACCACGAATCAGATGGAATGTGGCATGATGGTCGTTGGCAATCTGTTTGACAAAAGTACGCAGGATCCAAGGTTTCTCAAAAAGATCATCACTGGTGATGAGTCATTGGGGTTTGCCTACGACCCAGAGATGAAAATGCAGTCATCGGAGTGGCACACAGCGTCTTCTCCCAGGACAAAAAAATCATGCCTCGTCAGATTCAAAGACAAAGTGATGCTCATTGCATTCTCTGACATCGATGGTTTGGTGCACCATGAGTTCGTACCACCTGGACAGACTGTTACTGGCCATTTCAACATGCAAGTTTTGCAGAGGTTGTGCGATGCGGTTCAGAGGAAGCGGCATGACAAGTGGCAGGGACAGTGGTTTCTGCATCACAATAACACACCGAGCCACATATTGCTTGTTGTGCAGAAATTCCTTGCTGAGAAAAACATTCCTGTCATTGCTCAACCACTGTACTCTCCGGATCTCGCTCTGAGTGCCTTTTGGCTGTTCCCTACTCAAGGGGACACGTTTCATAACCATGGAGGACATCAAATGGCTGAGCTCTGGAAGATTCCAAAAGAAGCCTTTCACCACTGCTTCCAACAATGGCAGGATCGATGGAGCAAGTGTGTGTGAGCACAATGGTCCTACTTTGAAGGTGATTAGGTAAGTGTTGCTGTATGTCCTACCGTTAGAGTGCTATACCGCCATTCTGGGAACTTTCTGACTGCCCCTCATAGTTCCTACATATTATATATTGCCTGAGATACACAACAGGATGCAACCAATGAAAATAACACATCAGTGGTGTTCATCTCAGAACAGCTTGGCCAAGTCACACCTTGACCATTTTCAGTGCCAACTGTAGGTTTTATCTGTAGGCACTAATCAACTAGAAATACCTGTGTGTACTCTACACCCGTCCTCACACGCTTCACTTCACGCGGTGTATGCCTCGACTAAATTCAGCGGAATGAGTCTTATATCCCAGGGGTACACGGGTGTTGGCTCGCTTACGTCGTTTTTTTGGATGCGGGCTCGATCGGTTAACCCCCTAGCACAGGTTCCACAGGAACACCCTCACTACCTGGCTTCTACTCCTTCACTAACTCCTTACCCCCGCTGCTGCTTCCAGAAACCACGTTCTTAGCCATCTCGAACTTTCCACTGGGAGGTTTTCATGACCAAATACACGGACCC